TTAAGTATAGACATAACGAAAGACAAATACCAGGATGAGCACACAAGCAAGCAATAAGAACAACTAATCATGAACCCGTACAGGACTCTGCGTCGAGCGACGCAACCTCTAGGCGTCGGTCGACGCACAGCGTCTGAGTCGAGCGACGCACAACCATGGCGTCGATCGACACGACATCCACAGAAACGAGCCTATCCTCTCATGGCTCGAATCCGTCGCGATTTATCGAGTCACCTGCACGATCCCAGTCACAGAACACACGAAAACAACAATCAAACGCATTTCATCTATCCCTATGTGCACACAACCCACGATCACGCACTCACCTCAAAGAATCGAAATGAAAAGAATGAACCGACGTTCACTAAAACCCTCGTACACGACGAAACACTGGTCCAATTCCAAAACAGGCAACTGTTCTAGAAACTAGACACACACAGCTACGCGTCGGTATGCAGATCGCCACCAGACTCCCTCTGGTTTGATCGGAATTCCCCTCTGAACCCGACTGATCGCAGATAACAATCCCCCAAAAATCACTCCAATCCGCCTCGAATAGCCCAGCCGTTTGCCCTCTCAAAGTTCCAAACAGAAGCTGTTCCACTCACACAAACCTCTTCCCAAAAACCCTAAACTTCTGATCAACCAAAACGGCCAGAACACTGTTTCTGCCTTTTATATCGAAACCTAGGGTTTCTCTAACCATCACGCAACCCGTGCGATCAAACCCGATTTTCCGGTCTGATTAAAGGCTTGCGTCGCTCGACGTACCTCCCTTGCGTCGGTCGATGCAACACCCAGAAACCGACTCCTCGCGAGTCCAACTTCGTGTGTCGATCGACGCACTCCCCCTGCGTCGATCGACGCACCACGAAAAATCACATTTTTGGTTCACGGACGTTATACCAGACGTAGCGGTGCGTCCGTGAACCGGTTTAAAGTCTTGGTGTCGTTCGTGATTCGCCTAATCGATCGAAACAGGGATTGAGAGGATCAATTCCCCAACAGTAATGTTTGAAGATATATGTATCAATATCGTAAGCACGAAATTCCATGTGATTAGGATCACTGAATACCACGACACGCCCCCACGAAAAGGCAATCTTCGGAGGAAAATGTATATATTTCGGATCAAAACCTCATGTAACCCTTCATTATAAACTCAATTATCAAACGTCCTCGGCCTAAATGTTTTTCTTTTTGATTTTATTTTTTATTCGAAAATGGTTGAAAGGACAAAAAAAAAGACCAAACTCAACTTATTTACGACCGAACCAGTTATTGACCCGACCCATGCGGATGATCCAGACCAAACTCAAGTAATCGAATTTTTTCTTCTTCGCAAGCCACGACGTTTCTTCTTCTCCGTTTCAAACTGTCAAAGACAAAATTTTCCTCTAAAAATCGCACAACTAGACACCACTAACTTGCAATTAGGGAGAAGGTATGTTGAAATTGGATCCGTTGAAATTCTATCTTTTTCGATTTCGTAGATAATGGCTTCATTGGATTAAAGATTTCTCGATTTTGACCTAGAAATGGAACATAGAAAGCAAGCATCTATTTCAGCCGAGGGAACTCCAATAAACCAAAGAGTTTTACGGATAGTGGATAAGACGAGTTCAGAGGAAAGATCCTCAGAGGAATCGGCTGGATCGAAATCTGGATCTGAGGAGGCAGAGGAAACAAAGTCATAAGCTGGGTCTGAGGAAGAGGCGGAAGAAAACGTGGTATGTAAAGCTTAAATCGAAAGTCAAAATAGTTGTTAAAATGAAATTGTAACACTTGGTACAACAGGAGGAACACTGTGATAGAAAACTGTTTTA